TTTGTTGAGTGCCTTGCTATCGTGCTACTCCAGTCCCAAAAGGTTGGAAATAAGAAAGGAATGGAATCAAAATCGTGAACAACCTAGAATGTGGTGGTAACTCTCCTTTGAGAATGATGGAAATACTAAAAACTATGCTAAAATAGTCAAGTAGGAGCTCGGGAAAGACCAGATGCATTTGGGTTTTTCTTTTTCTTTTTCTTTAACCTGGACAAGGGAATTGTTCTTGGACTGTGAGATACAAAGAGGGGAAATATAGATGTCGGGGTCCTTTAATATACAAGAAATGAATTATGAAATTAAGTGGAGAAATTTGCTCCCAAAACATAGAACTTCATCTGCATTTACTTGTGGTATCCTCTTTTCAGTCAATCAAATCCTGTAAGAGTTTCAGATAGGATTTGGAATAGGCACAATTAAATTAGTATGCGATACGGCGATAGGAGAGAGACACTCTGCGAAATTGGATGCAATATTCATGCAATCGAAACCTAAGTTGCTCGGACTCGGGTGCGGGTATCCGATAGGGGGATGGATCTGAGTATCGAATTCGGCAAAATCTAAATTTTAAGATTCGGGGGTGCGGATCTGGATACAGATACGGGGATTCGGCTAATAAAAAATAGAGCTATAAAAATATTGTAAATTTTGAGAGATATTTTGTGAAAAACTTACATGAACGTTGTACAATTCCATCTTTCATTCTCCAAGACGTACATTATTCTTTCATTGTCCTAAATCTCTTTTATTTTGAGAAATCAAAATCTCAATTTTTCTCCCAAATTTGTCGATGGACTCCGGTCAAAGTATCCGAAGTCAATTGACCGAATCCGGGACGGAACCAAAATCGAAGAGTTCGCACAACTTAGATCTAAACATGCTAGATGTTCTACCTACGGTTTAGAGGTGGATCTAAGATTAGAACTTTATGGGTTAGGATTAAGAATTATACCACATCGCAGCTAATTTACTGGTTTAAAACCTATTATTTGTACTTATTACAGGGTCTAAGCCAAAGATACTAGTTTCAACTGAGCTAGTAGCTTATTCGCTATATTTATCATGTATAAACTCCAGGACACTGAGGTATCAATAAGCACTCGAGCAGCATGTGATGAGATTGTTTACACAGCAAACAATTTCACTTTCTAGCCCAAGCTAACACTAATAGTGTAAATAATTTGTTCCCTCAGGCAAGTTCAATTGTTCAAATATTTTCTCCCTTGCACACAAGTACAAACACTATTTTCTTTTTTCCTTGTGCCGAGGGTCTACCGGAAAGAGTCTATCTATATTCATTGTAGAGGTAAGGCGTGCGTATTCACTCGTGCTACCCTCCCCAAATCCCACTTGTGTAATTATACGGGATTTATTGTTGTTGTTGCACACAAGTACAAACACTATGATAAATCAGCAGCAATAATAAACAAAAATTAATGCAAAAACATAAAACCCCTTTAATATTCTAGTACCCTTTTTCTTCTTATCCTCAATTTAATCAGTGGCATATGCAAAATCAAATTAAGTTCATATACCCAATTATTTTCTTTACAATGAAAGCTAAATTGTGAAACAAAAAGCTTAAACGTTAGTACCTGTTTGCGGTTATCGGAGAAGAGGCAAGAAAATCTGCCATTGCAATTGAGTTTGTGTTGTAGGGAGCGAAAACTATTCTCGACGCTGGAGGAGGGAATAGTGTGAAAAGTTAGCAGTGACGGCCGCGTCAACGATAAGGTGCGGTGGTGCTGCGTGTGCGTTGGGGTTGGAACGCGTAGGCTCAGCACCTGCGCCATGGATTTTGTGTTTTAGCTAGTGACGAGCCACAATACTTGTTAAATTGGGCAAATGGCCCAACGAGCCGGCCTGGTTCCAAGTATAGGTGTTTAACGGGCAGGTTGGGACGGGCTGGAAATAAAAATCGTCAGCTCGTTTGATAACAGATTGGAATGTTAATGGGTTGGGAATTTTTGGGTTTTATAGGGCCCGTACGGGTTCAGACTTAACGGGCGGGCGGTTCAGATTATTTTTTTTAATTAAATTATATTTTTCTTTTTCAATGTTATTGATAGTTTTTTTAATTAAATTAACAGGTTAACGGGCTGAAACGAGCTACAGCCTGTTAAGAACCCTTAAGGGCTTAACGGGTTGTAGCAGGTTCGGTATATCGTTTTTCAAAATATGTACGTTTAAAACTCGTTATCCGTCCAACCCGTCCCAGCTCGCTATTTTTACTACAATGTCGGGCTGAACCGGATTATTAACGGATTAGCCCGGCCCGATTAACACCTCTAGTTCCAACCCTTTCAACTACTTTTGTCTTTTTGGTTTAAGGATATTATTGACTTAGATTAATTTGAATTCAGGTCACGGCTGTAAAGCATTTCCTAGCATGAGTTTCTGAAAGATTTTTTTCATCCGTACGATAAATTCATGTAAAAAAGTCACGAGTTTCATATACAAACTATTCAGATCTTATGTACTAGAGTCAAAAATGCAACAGTAATAACTTATTTAATATATTCTAATACCGTTCTTATTTGCCCTAGTGATGAACGCCCTGACACGACATATTCAAGAGGAGGTTCTATGATGTGTGTTATTCGCTGATGGCATAGTTCTAATTGTTGAGACACGAGACGGTGTTAACGAGAGGCTGGAGGTTTGGAGACAAACCTTGGGTCTAAAAGTTTTAAGTTGAGCATGATAAAGACAGAGTATTTGGAGTGCAAGTTCAAAGCCAGATCGAGGGAAACATGCATGGACGTCGGGCTTGGATCACAGGTTATCATCAAGAGAGGCAGTTTCAAGTACCTGGGGTCGGTTATCCAGGAGGACGGAGAGATCGATAAGGACGTCACACTCCGTATAGGGGTGGGTTGGATGAAATAGAGGTTAGCATCTAGAGTCGTGTGTGACAAGAAAGTGCCATTGATACTCAAAGGTAAGTTTTATAAAGTGGTGGTTAGACCGTCCATGTTGTATGGGGTAGAGTGTTGGACGGTTAAGAACTCACATATACAGAAGATGAAAGTAGCAGAGATGAGGATGTTAGAGGTGGATGTGTGTGAACGCTAGGATGGATAAGATTATGAATGAAGATATTCGAGAGAAGGTGAGCGTGGCTCCTATAAATGAGAAGATGGGGGAAGCAAGACTTAAATGGTTTGGGCATGTGCGGAGGAAAAGCCCAAATGCCCCGGTAAGAAGGTGTAAGTGGTTGGCTTTGGCGGGAACGAGAAGAGGTAGAGGGCGACCTAAGAAGTATTAGGAAGAGGTGATCATGCAAGACATGACGTGGCTTCAGATTTTCGAGGATATACCCCTTGATAGGAAAGTGTGGAGATCGAGCATCAGGGTTGTAAGTTCGGAGGCAGATGAGCATTTTTCTATTTCGTTCCGGGTGTGAGGATAGACTGATAGGTTTTGTCTTAGATTACTAGTGGTTTATGTTGTGTTCTCGCGATTTTTCCCTTTTTCCTTACTGGTTATTGTACTGTGTTTCAACTATTTTTTGGTTTATTATAATGCTTTATTATTTCTATGGTTTATGTTGATGGTATTGTATTTGTCTGTTTCGTCTTTTTTGTTTTCTTAAGCTAAGGGTCTATCATAAACAACCCCTCTACTCAATGGGGACGGGGACAAGGTATTCATCATACGTAGAGGCATAACCAAAATTACAAGCTTGTGAATTCGAGATTCTAATCATTTAAAGTTAACGTAAAAAGAATTGGTAGAATAAAGAATAAATTGTAAAAAAGGTATTAAATGGATATGATTTTATACGGAAATCTTTTGTCACATTGCCAAGATCGTGAGCTTTTTAAGTTGTTGACCAAACCCAATCCAATCAAACGGCATATAGCTGTGACACGCAAACACTCTTTATTTACCTAAATAACCTCACTTTTCCATGTTAGAACACGTGGTTTCGTGGGGTATTTAAGTAAATTAACAAAAATTGAATAAAAGATAATTTCAAAATCTGTTGGGAAAGACAAGACAGTTCTAATTTCAGCCCAACCTCTTTTGGCCCCACCACTTTATCTTTATCCTTTCCAAATTCCTTATTTTTCCAATTTTTTAATATCAAGGGTCCCCACTTCTCATAATTGCATTTATACCCTTGCTTCTTCTCGATGCTATTATCTTAAAAGAATAATATTTATTATTCTTTCCGTCTCAATTTAAAAGACACACTCAATTTAAATATAAGTTTTTTATTTTACCCACTTTACTTTTAGGGGCCATTTGATTTGAAACTTTGAATATAATTTATGTCGGGATGAATTATGTTGAAATTAGTTATCCTGGTATTATTTTTTATTCATTGTTCGGTATAATGTATTAAAAATAATAATTGCACACTTTCTAAGAAAGATATAACTTATACCGGCACTAATTATCACACCCTCTACAAGGTATAAGTTATCCCTAAACTAATTTTAATCCCGGAATAACTTATACCAGATTTGCTAATCAAACAAAATATTAAGATATCATCAAATTTTTATACCAGCACTATACCTTCTTATACCTCATATCAAACGACCCCTTAATAATAAGTTTTTATAGTCATACAATTATTATGGCCTTACAATTTTTTTAACCCTTAAACTTTAAAATTGCATGTTTCAAAAATCTTTTTTTTCTTAAATTTTATGTCAAATTAAGCTAAATTATCTAAATTGCAAATAAAAGGAATATTAAAGATTATGTTTGAGTACTAAATACTATTTTATTGTTAAATAGAGATCTCGAGTTTAAGTTTCTGATTGAAATTGTCATTATTAGAAAATATTTTATCCTAAGACTTTTTTGCATCAATTAAAATTAATCAAGCTCAAAAGTTATAATACGGACGGTTGTTGGAAAATCCAAATTAAAAAAAAAAACAAAATGCAAAAAGGCAATGAACATAACTTTTAAACTAAGCCAAGGGTATTTTTGTCATTAAATGCTTATATAGATAGAGATAGAGAGAGGCAAAAAAGGAAGCTTGAAGAGAGAGAGAGAGGGGGAAGAAGAACAGAGATACAGAGAGTAACAGAGAGAGTGTGAGAGAGAAGAAAAAAAAACGGTTCCGTTAATTTTGCCGTTACTATATGAAAGCTAAACCATGGTGTCGGACCAGGAAATAGCGAGAGGTGTTGAGATTTTGCTCCGTCAGTCAGATCCTAACGCCGTTACGTCGTTAAACGGCGTCGTACAGCAGCTCGGAGCAAAACTTGGACAAGACCTTTCGCACAAGGCGGAGTTTATCAGTGATCAGATCAGTCTACTCCGATCACAGGTACAGCAGCCGGTACAACATCCGGCGATGATTAAAGACCATTTTGCCCTCCTGAACCACCCACAGTTTGCTGCGCAACAGCAATTTTATTCCCATTTTGCCCTTCAGCAACATCATCAGCAGCAGCAGCAACAACAATACCTTTACTTTCAGCAGCAGCAGCACCGGCAACCACCTCTGCAGCCGCAAGTGCAGCAACAAGCTCCGTCGCCGGTGGTTGCGAGAGCAGCTGCGGGTTCTGCTCAGCATGCGGCGTCAAATGTCGCTTCTGCCCCCAAGGAAAGGTATGATGTATATAATTTGGACGAGGATAAGTTTGTCTTTTTCTTTCTTAATTTAATTTGGTTGGAAGAAATGGTTTTGCTGAAAAATTAAACAAAGACATGCATAAGAGGTTTTTTTTCCTGTATTTTTTGTATTTTTTATTTTTGATATTCTAATGCTTTGAGCTTTGGGGGGAGGGGGGTGAAGGATTTGGTGTTGGTGCTAGTGGTTGGGCGAATATAGGTTGAGTAAAAAGCGGTTATGCTTTTTATTTATTTATTTATTAAAAAGATGTACTGTTTTGGTATTATAGTAAGTCATATAGTAATTCCTATGTCAATGATAATAATCAGAGATCTGAAAATATACTATAATTATTTTTTCACTATAATGTATAAAGATTAATGCAGCTCATATAGCTAGTGTCTAACTGGGATTTGCAATTTATATACCATCTGTTGTTACATATTGGGAAATTTTGATTGAAACTGTCTTACATCAACTTTGACGAGGAACACATTGCATGTTATGCCATGAACTTGAGTGTTCTGTGCTTTTAGATGACTTTTGTTTCCTAATCAATGTCTGGTACTTAATAATAAATGGTATCTGATTCAGTCAGTAAACATAATCCCGTATTTGTACGAGTTTAGCCACTTGTTTACGTGGTTAACAATTCAAATCAAAACTTCCTGTATTTGATCCTGTTTCCATTTTGTCCAGTGCTACTTCTGGAACGAAAAGGAGAGGTGGACCAGGTGGTTTAAACAAAGTCTGTGGTGTTTCACCTGAACTTCAGGTCATAGTTGGTCAACCGGAAATGCCCCGGACAGAGGTTTGATTTTCAAATCAATAGAAGCTCCAGATTTTTAGTTGGTGGTTGTTATATAGATCATAAATGCATCTTTCTTTGCTCGATCAGATTGTGAAACAGCTGTGGGTGTACATCAGAAAACACAACTTACAGGATCCTGGTAACAAACGAAAGATTATCTGCAATGATGCTCTGCGAGCGCTCTTTGAAACAGACTGTACCGATATGTTCAAGATGAATAAGCTGCTGGCCAAGCATATTACAGCATTAGATCCTTCAAGTATGTCAAATAAAAAAATGATTTCTGTTTGTAACATATCTTTCTTTTATTTTCTAACTTCCCAAAAGTATAAGAAAATGACAAAAAGGGAAAAATCGACAAATAGCTTGCTTTAGTTTGAAGGGTTTATAGCTATTTTACTTAAGATGTTCTCCTGTCCAACCCCTGCAGAACAAGTTGAGCAAGCTGATCAAGCTAAAAGATTGAAGGTTGAAGCTGAGCCCATAGCTGCTAAAGTTGAAGCTCATTCTGTAGCTGCTAAGGTTGAAACTCATTCCACGGCTGCTAAGGTTGAACAGCCTGTTTTTTCCACTGTTACGATATCTGATGCGCTCGCCAAATTTTTTGGAAGTGAAGAAAAGGAGATACCCCAAACAGAGGCCTTGAAACGTATTTGGGAGTATATAAAGCTTAACCAACTTGAGGTAGATGCATCTCTATAATCAACCTGTTTTATTTTGGTTATCTCCTCTCAGTTCCTTTCTGGTTTTCTACCTCCTTTCCCTCTGTAATTCCTCACTACTACAAGTGTTTAATATCTCTATACAACATCGTCACATATATCTGAATCTTTGTCACATATTTCCGCTTTTCCATTTCACAGGATCCTCTGAATTCTATGGTGATTGTGTGCGATGCAAAGCTTCAGGAACTCCTAGAATGTGAAAGTATTTCTGCTCCGGAAATACCTCAGATGCTGGCACGTCGTCATTTTGTTTAGCAATGACTATACGTCTACATTACTATGGTAGGTAAAGTATGCCACGTTGACCCTTCATAAGCAGAAAGGCTAGTTTACCATTTTGTCCTCGAGGGAGATTGTATCATATCGATAAATAATTATAAAATAACTCTATTCTTTGATATTTACACTGATTTTTCTTGTGGCAATTTTCAATTAGCTATGTACTAATAGTTAAAATTTACAATTCTTTTGCAAGAAGCCTAAAAGATAGAGAAGGTTCACAGAGCAGTTCATTTAATTTGAAGGGGTAATTATGTACCTTTTAAGGGGAAACATGTAGTATGAGTGGTGGGAGTTCTGTTTTTCTGCATTGCACTTGTTCCTGTACCATATTAATAAAAGACTTTACCTATCAAAAAGTAACAATAATAATTTAAAGGGGTAATTAATAGAAAATGTACAGTATACTTTCTGAAGGAAACTGAAAGAAATGGTTGGCTGTTTTGTCAAATGCAAGAGAGCTCTTTTCGGTTTGCTATTGTTAAGATAAACAGTTCATCAACATTCTCTAGAATATGCTGACATTACTTCAGCTCTTGGATATCCCCGCAACTGCTTCTCGTTCAAATATATGATTGATGATACATGAGCCCCTTTTTACTCTTTCTTTCTGTTTAGTTGTAAGATGAAAAATTTTATGGTCTAGAGGAAATAAAGTGTTCTTAGTGGGGATGACAACATCATTTCGCCTCTACTAATAATTCTTTAATATGTGTACAAGATTATGTTTGACTTGAATATTTGCCCAGTTGTTGCTTTTCGATGCCCATACGCATTTGCATTGGACTTCCATCTGATTTAATCCACAACCTCCCGCTGTGTTTTCTTGCAGGTATTTCAGGTCATAGCTGTCTAGTCGTTTGATAATACGCTAATGTTTCCGAAGATGTATCTTGGTTCTTAGGTAATTTTAGTTTGTTAACATAGTTAGACTCATGGTATGTAATTAGAATTCTGGATTGATGTGCTTCTGAGCTTATGGCAGAAGGTTGTTTTTGTAATTATGCCATGGCCTTGGTCTAGGTACAGTAGCTCCTCTGTTCTTGTAAAATCCTGGCATCCTTAATATATGGCTAGTAGGAACATTAATAGATTCTTAGCTTGTTCAAACACATTGGAACTAAGATGTATATGTCAGGTATACAATCTACATTGGGGGGTATCTTCTTTGATATAAAATTTCTGGTACTTATTGCTTTATTCGTCGCTGTGAGGAAATGATCTCCTATGACCAGTTATAATTTGAATAGAAAAAAATGACCGTTCAAAGATCTGTATTTTGTTGTCTATTTACGTTGCTTCATTTGTGGTAATCTTCATAGATGGCAGCAAAATTTTGCTGCTTCTGTTACTACAATTTTGTTGGTAAATTACATTAAGTTTTGGCAAAAGCTGTTTTTGCCTTTTCTTTTCTTCCTCGCTACCCGCCTTCTGTCTTCCTTACTTTCAATCTTGTTTAAGCTTGCTGGATTTTCCTCATCCGCTGTATTGAATCAAATCCTCGGTAGCCATATGAACCAATGCCAACAGAGGAGTTACGAGCGAGCTGTCCTTTAGCTATTGTTCTTGAGAAATGACCCGGTCTGGCTTATTCCTCAAACAAAGTTTTTACAGGATCTCTATCACCAAAATTTTAACTTATGGTTTCGGCGAACGAATAGTCCTCCTCTTTCTGGACAACACATACATTAGTAATGAGGTTTTGGAATATTAAACATTGATTAATCAAAGAGAGATTCAACAACGAAAAGAAAGATCGCCTTTTTGGGATCCTTTCTTTCTTCAAACAGAACGAAAAGACATAGAATTAGGCCGATTCCTCAATGTAAGTTCTTGACCAAGTACAGTATAGCTGCAAATAGAAGAACAATAAACAAGATGCTCATAGCCTGTTTCTTCTTTCCCTTGAAAAGGTCTGGAGGATTTATCTTTTGAATTGCTCTCAGAAGGAAGGATGATACTTTCTGATGAATTGAAGAAAATAGATGGAAAATATATTAGTACTAGCCAAAATTGTAGATCATGTATTTATAATTTTGTTGTCATACTACTAAAATATTACTACTCACCAATCGAACGGGCTCAATTTGAAGGATTGGGTCCATGAACATCTCCACATTCCTGACATTCAAAGGGAAAAGGAAAATTAACTTAAATAACTGCCTGCTCAAGCGCTTAAACTTAAATTAGCGGCAGATTTATAATATATGTATGATTCATATATAATATGTGTATAATCATTGTATAATTTATGTATGCTGGCTGAAAAAAGTAAACAGCAATTTTGACCGACTATTTATGTAAAAATCCTAAATCATCACTCGCAATTTAGTTTTTGACAAGTTTATATTCACTTAGTTTCGAGTTTTGAACCATACGTCACTGACCCACAAGAATTTCTTGGTTATAAAAGAAAATCATTATTTAGCTTTTAGATAGGTGTATAGACATATATTGTATTTTTCAGCTCCAAGGAGTTCAATCAAATTTTCTTCAACTGTATTTTTCCATGCTTTATTGATGATTTGATCCATTATTTTCTTCCTAATCAATATTGTTTTGACTCTCTAAAAATATCTCTGGGTGCGTATCGAATCGTCCAAAAATAATATATATTTGGAGGATCTGACACAAATACGAAAACATTTTAGAGAGTCTGTACAATATAGTTCCTACTTTACCTTATCATCATCTTGCCTTTGTAATAATGGCACAAATAGAAGCCAAAACCTTTTCCAATGGGAACATGAGTTTCGCTGCATGCTGCCAATAAATAAATAAATAAATAAATAAATATATATATATATATATATATATATATATGACAATTGACGAGTTTCGAATATCAGATGATTAAAAAAAATTGGAAAAATAAAAGTATACAAAAATGGGCTAACCTAGTTCCCAAGCAACTCCAACACTAGTTCCATTATGTATGGTGGGTTGAATGACAAACTCAAAGTGATTCCCCAGGAGCTTTATGATTGAATTGAAGAAATCTATTACTTGCTGCAAATATAGATCATCAAACTTATTATATATTATTAGTATATAGTTTAAATTATATGCAGTGATAATATAAAAAATACTTATATAATCAGGTCATTAACAACTTGTTTGGATGGTTAATATGTATATCGTATAGTATTATATTGTATCGTTTTGCTGTAAACAATGATTGGATAGACTGTACTGTTTTCTGTCGTTTCATGATGTCATTCACCAACAATATAGAGAATAAACTTGCAATATTATAAAGAAAAAGTAAGGTACGAGGTAGAATTATTACACAAAAAGGTAAAGTAAAAGATAAAAATAAGATTATTTAATAGTAATATGGAAAGACAAGATGAGAGAAAAAAAATAAAGAAACGACGCGACCATACCAAATCGATCGTTCCATAAAGTGACACTTTTCGTCATTAGGCAACGACGGATTTAACGATACAATACAATAAAATTTAACAAACAATCAAAACATTGTATCTAAAGCAACAATACGATACAATACAACCATCAAAACAACCTGTAAGGTAATTATAAGTAAATCTCTTGACAAGAATTAATTAGTAATAAATTTTTATTTTTCTAAAACGTCAAATATTTAGAATCAAAATTAATTTGCAAACACGACTAATATTTGAGACGGAACGAAAGTAATAAATAAAAAGTATGGCATACCTCCTTGCCATAGAAAGTTTGTAAAGAAGAAGAGGCAACGTTGCTAATGCATCGACATTCTTCTCCAATTATATCAGATAATTCATTAAGATTTTTATTTCTAAGTGCATTATAAAGTTTTTCTACTGTTTCCATAGCTTTCTGGCCTTCTTCTGGCATTTCTGAATTATCTGTAATATTACATTTCACAAGGCATAATTTGCCATTACTTTTGGAGACATAACTCAAAGAATAAAATTGGTTTAAATTAATAAAACTAGAAATATAATTTTGGTCTTGAAGTTTTATGTTTGTATGAGGGTAAAATTTATTTTTTGGTTGGAGAGAATATTGGGAAATTATTTCTTGAAAAGTTGTAGGGAAATTTTTAATAGAGAAGGTAGAAGGGAAAGTCATTGAATCCATTTTCAAGAACATGGAATTACATGAAAATTGGGAAATTAATGATTGTTTATATATTTATAAGAAAATGAGATAGACATTTTTCATAACATGTTTCTCACATATAACGAGAATAAAGCAAAACATGTTCATGAAGAATTCATGCATTGCAAGATTGGAATCTCTCGTACGTAGTGCAAAAGCTCTTTCTTTAAATGTTGGTTTACCTTACAAAAAAAAAAACAAATAATAATATACCGAGTATAATCTCATAAGTAGGATCTGGAAAGGATAATGATTAATGAGTACGCAGCCTTACCGCTTCCTTGTACGTGTAGAAAAGTTGTTTCGTATAGACCATCGACTAGGGTTGTGTATGGATTGGATCGGATCGGATCGGATCGGATCGGATTTAGCATATTTCAGATTCGGCATTTCGGATTCTACAAAATGCAATCCGAATCCGACCTGAATTAATAACGAATTGGATGAGATTTTAGTGTTTGGATCGAATCGGATCAAATTTTCGGATTTCGGATCGGATTATTATGCCTCAAAGTTTTGCAAACTCATATGTATATTTTCTTCGTAAAAGAGCCAATACAGTAAGAAAAATTCATGTTTCTGCTATTATGAGAGTACTATGGTACCAATATAGCCAAATCCAGCAATTGTAAAGGTAATAACTTGGAAGAAGATGTAAAGGAAGTACTGATTTTCTGAAATTAAAGTTTAATATTAATAAATGCCCTAATAACTTCGGATTCCGGATCGGATCGGATTACAATTATACAAATCCGAATATCCGAAATTTTAATAAGCACGATCCAGAATCTGATCTAAATATCCGAAATTGAGCGAATCGGTTCGAATTTCGAATATTCGATCCAAATGAACAAGCCTACCATCGACCATAGTTTATCTTGCCTAAGGAATAGATACGAGAAATATATAAAGTTAAACACTTACATTTTCTTATTTTGTTAGAGTCAGAGTCAGCTTGTGCGTATCCCGAAAATTTTTAAACCATAATCAAAACCAGAGTGAGGTCTGGGGAGGATAGTATGTACACAGGAACCTTTGAGGGTAGAAAAACTGTTTTCGACAGACCCTCTTCTCAAGAAAAGTAAAAAAAAGCAGCAATACCAACAGCAAGATAATAAGAAACAAACAGTAACCATAACAAGATAAGATAATGCAAGGGATACAATGAACTAACGAAGACAAAATTTAAAGAGTGACCTCACAAAAGGCTATTCAGTGCAAATAATTCGAAATGGGATAATGGGCCGGCTGAGGGTTGATCCAAGCCCAAACGAAAGGGGCCTATTTTATGCTTTTTTATTGTAAAAATTACGCGGGGCGCCTTATTTGGTCGCCCCCATTTTACCTATACCCATATTTTTAAAATTATTTAACCTATATCCTAATTTTTATAACTTCAGGCGCCGCCTTCCTGATACCAGTGCAAAACTTCAGCATATTTACTGCTGAAGTTTTTACAAATGAGCTAAATAACTTCAGCATCTTCTGCTGAAGTTTTTGAAAAAGCCTAAAATGCTGAAGTTTGTATGATTGCATTTGCTATTTCAGGCCCGTATGCCTGAAGTTTATACGAAAAGCGGGTACACTTGTAATTTCTTTTGCAAAGCGGATATAAATTAAAATATAACGCAAAAAGCAAGTATAGATGCAAAAGCTCCGATTTTGTAGCACAGGCAGAGGAATATTTGGACCTTGTATTTTGATGAGATTCCTTATATATGAAGGACTTTTTCAAGTCTTCAAATTTGGAGTGAAATCTTTAACAAATTCAAGCGTTTTAACATATTTTGTTAATATTTTTAAAAAGTTAGTTTAATTTTAAAAAGACGAACGACATTTCGCTAAGGGCTTTTGTGCTTTTAATATAGTATAAATATAGATTTTCTTTTTGCTAAAATTTTATAACACTAAAGGGATCTTTAAGCAAATAACTGACCATATTAATTGTTTACTTTTTCTAGTCATATACATATATTATACATTGATTATACATAATTATACACACGTAATACATTTTTCACGGGCTATTTTTAGTTTAATTGGTTGGGTAAACGGCTATTTGAGTTAATTCTTCGGCATCTTTACACAAATAACCGATCATATTAATTATTTACTTTTTCTAGCCTACAACGCATTGTACATTGATTATACATCATTATACACATATAATATATTCGCCGATTATTTTTAATTTAATTGGTACGATAAACGACTATTTGAATTATTTCTTGTAAATTAATTTTATACGAGGTGCTTTTTCTCATTAAAAAAAATTAAAAATAATAAAACCAGCCGTCCACTGGCCAGAACGCAAAACGCCATTGTTAAGCAAAGAGGAGAAAACAGAGATCAATTGATCCATCGGAGAAAATCGAAAGGGAAAAAAATGGGAGAAGATTTAGTGTTGGACACAGCGATAAGAGACTGGGTATTAATACCATTATCGGTAGTAATGGTACTCATTGGAATTCTCCGTTACTTCGTCTCTAAGCTCATGCGTTCTTCTTCTCAATTATCAGATCCTAAAATCATCAAAGAAGGGTCATTTTACTATCTCCTTTTAATTAATTTTGTACTTAGGCGTAGTTTATTGAATGATTGATCGATTGTTTTGTGTTTAATTATCAGGCAGGTTGTAATTAGGGCAAGGAATTTGAGAGCTGGAGCAAATTTTATTCCGGTTACGTCTTTTCGTGCAAGGAAGTTTTACTATAGCAACGAGGTTTGATACTTATTAGTTTTAGTTTTTGTTTATTATTGTTATTAACTGAGGTTGACTAACAGCTTGTTTGGATGGTTGTTACGTATCGTTTCATAATGTATCGTATCATAGTGTATTGTATTGTTTCGTTTGATAAATATAATGTTTGGATAGATTGTGTCGTTTGCCAATCATTTCATAATGTTACACACCAGCAATATGTAGAATAAACTTGCAATATTATAAAAAAGAATTATGATATAGGGTAAAATTACTATATAAAAAGTAGGGTAAGTAATAAAATAAAATTATTTAGCAATAATGAAGGGTGAGATTGAGATAAAAAGACAAGGTAACAACGGGACCACACCAAATCGATTGTTATAAAAAGTGGCACATTTACATCGTATTTAACGTAACAATACAATACAGTAGGTAACAACCATTCAAACAAGCTGTAAGCATATGCGATGAATTTAAGATTTTTAGTCCAGTTTAAGGTACTAAGTTAACTTTGGAGGTTAAAGGGACCACTTTTGCGTGCTTCACCCAAGTTGTTCAAAATTATCGGACAAAATGTAGTTGATGATTACTAACCTATGACAAAAATGCTACTCAAATAGTTGAGTTTTGGTTGTGAAAGACTGATATATTATGCTTAATTTGATTGTCAAGTGTTTTAATTTTGGCTTTCAAAGTGAACATAGACAGTTAATTTCAGGTAGGGGGAGTATGGTTTATAGTATGGGTAGTTGGATTTTCTTGTCAAGATTGACAAAGAACTTCAAAAAAATGTACACTGAAGTGTAGAGAGGTATGCTGAATGTTACTGGATAAAAATGAAATTCTTTGAAGTTTATCATGAAGAAGAAGATTGTAGCTTGAAAACTAAGTGAAGTAGGAGTGGGAGGACAAACAGAAATTTGACACCCAAGAATGTAGCCTAGTGTCTAGTGGTTAATGAAGAGGGTGAAAACCATGGGAGACCAGGATTCAAGGGTTCAAATCACAACTGAAACAAAAAAACACTAGGTGATATCTTCTCTGCTTAAGTGTTGATGGTAGAGTTATCTAGTATCTATGCTGATGGGAGGTGGTTGGTACAGGTGGAATAGTCGAGATGAGCACAAGTGGCCCAGACACCATATATATAAAAGAAAGAGAGATAGCGAGACAAATTTGAAAAGAAGAGATTGGGATGTGGGTTTTATGATGGAGCTGAATCAAAGTGAAAGAAACACGACTACCTGCTTGGAGGGGAGTTGATGCCAGTGAAAGGTGGTCCAGTTGGGGTACAGTGGTTGTTACTAGAGAAAACTCACTGCTCTTTGGGAGTTTGGGTTAAGGGGCGATAGCAATGAGTATGAGAATATTGCTTTAAAGGGGATTTGAGTGCTCGGTCATATAATGGGGATTTGTTTTGTGCCTAATTTTTTTTTGCTAAAGAATATGTTTTGTAAATGAGGTTATTTCCTTTAGTGCAATCCGATCTTGTGGAACATGATGTGACTATGCAAGCAGTACAGTACAAAAAAAATCAAATGAAACGGTTGGAGCTCCCTGATATCTAAGGAGCCTACCAGCTGAAAAACTTAATAATTTAATATTATCTTTTCACGAAAAGCCTTATGCTGCTTTGGAACAAGAAAATAACAAGTATATACTTGAAAATGCAGGAAAATGGACTGCTATATGTTCCAAAGGGACAAGCTCAGAATCCACAGGCACAAATGTTTTCTGACCCAAACATGGCTATGGATATGATGAAGAAGAATTTATCAATGATCATACCTCAGGTATCTTGCTTCCCGATGATCATTTGTTTATTAATGATATTGCTCAATATAGGACCTGACATCTTAAATGTACTTCCTCTTGTCAGACTCTTACCTTTGCATGGGTCAACTTCTTCTTCTCTGGATTTGTAGCAGGTAAATTCCTTAATTTTTCTGAATTCAGATTCTGGGCACTCCAAATTCGTCACTTTGCATTTTGAAGTATTTGAAGCTTTATATTCTTTAACTTGCATAAATGTCTGGTATCATTTCAGCGAAAATACCTTTTCCATTAACTCAGAGATTCAGGTCAATGTTGCAAAATGGCATTGACTTAAGCACTGTTGATGTCAGCTACGTCAGCAGTCGCTCATGGTAAATATGAGCACTCTTTGTTTCCATAAGTTCAAGTACTATGCTTTAAAGCTACTTTTTGTAGTGCTCTGCTGCTTTTTATCTTATACTTGCTATCATATTGGTCAGGTATTTCCTCAATCTGTTCGGATTAAGGGGTTTGTTCAGCCTCATTCTTGGAGAAGAAAATGGTCAGTATTTTTTTGAGAGTTATGTAATGTCTAATGGTCGCTTTATTCATGTATATAAGAGCTGTATGTCACTGCTTCTGGTTTTATAGACTGTCTAGTCTTTCTTTTGGGTTTTTTGTAATGTCGTTGGAAATTAAAATATAATTATTTGCTGCAGCAACTGATGACACTCAACGTATGATGCAAATGAGCGGATTTGGTTTTGACCCTAGCAAGGTAAAATTCTTTGTCCTTGCTTATTGTCGATGTCTGCTTGCTTATTTTGATTCTGCCAACGTTGAGGTGCAGTTTATGATTGCTTAGTTGTGCTAAACAAGACAAAAGTTACAGTCTTTCTTCTTTCTGTATTAGTCCTTCTTATTGCTTCCCACCTGCCCCTACCTTTTTCTATTATGTAACCAAGAAACAAAATTTCCTTTCTATCAAAGGAAAGGTCGAGTGCTGTTTGGAAGGAACAAGAAGAAAAGAAGAGGAAAAGGAGAGGGTAGATGGGTGGAGAAAAGGGAAGAAAGGAGGAGCTTTTTTCTCCTCATTTTTTATATCTCTTGGGAAAAATTGTATAAACTGATCATGTTTCCAGCTGGAGCTAGTGCCTTTCGCTTCACCCTACTTCAAGGGCCAGATGCTACACACACACACAAAAAAAAAAAAAGTGGGAATGAATCTGGATTACTAAGTCTTGATTGTCAACTGAATCTCCTACGATTTTAACATGTATCAGTGTTGAATTTTTGCTGTCCAGAGTGAATAATCGTGCATGAAGTCTACACCTGTTTGTTCCTAAGAAGGTCATTAGTACTCGCGTTCATTTGGTTGATTGGTCATTTAAGTGCTGTTGTCAGGTGTCTAAATCGAATGCTGTTTTTTCTCTTCGCTTGTTTTAATTTCAGAAGCCATAGTATGGCTATATCTCTGCAATAACTGTAAAGCTGATAGGTGAGCCTAGTCGTTTGGCTGTAGGAAGGGGTGGAGAATATTTCAGTGAAGGATCCAAGTGAGATAAATGAACGGCTTCTGAATGCAAATTACCCGGAATTCTATCATTGAATACACATGCATATGTAGTCCATTCTCTTTTTTCTTTAGCTTGGACTCTCTCCCCCCTTTTTCTAAGAAAAAAATGTTATATTAATCTCTTGATCCTTAAATTCCAAACTCAGTGGTCAGTACTTGAGCAACCTTTAGAAAGAGGGACAGGGTAAGAACAAAACTGAAATGCATAGACATTTGCTTTCACTCAGTGGAGGGAAGAGATTGAACTGCATGCTGCTTGTGCTAGAGTTGCTATTTTAAAGGAAATCGATATACATTGACCTATCGAGGCTCCTGATATTCCTGAACCTTATTCTACTGCGAGTGACCATCAGAGTAAAGTCAGTAGATTATCTTTACATCCTTCCATATACACAAGCCTGTGAGTCAGACGGCACTTTCTACAAAGTTTAAGCTTTCTATTGGGTAACAAATTAATCGTCTTTATTACAGATTACATCTTGTCCTATATTTTCTTGCTTTTCGTAACTAAAGTATCTTTCTTGTTATACAGAGTTTGGGAGCAGAAAAGGATGGCTTAGATATTATTCAGCATGAGTGGGCACTTCCTAAATTTGAACAGCGGGCTGGAGCAGTCTTGCGGAAACTAGTCTACTGAGTATATATTTTTAATTTGTGTTTCAGCAGCAAACTGGACGACACTTCTTTATATCTGGTGAAAACTTCAATCCTGAAGCAAGGGCAGGTGAACATAATGTTTGAGTAAGAAGAACTAGCTTAGCTTCTTTACAAGCGAAGGAATTGAGTCTAGAGGAAACAAGTTAACTAAGAATGTAGATTTAAAATCTCTCTCAATTTCAGCTGTGCAGCATTTTGCTTGCTGACTGCTGCACCGAGGTGGCCTACAGCCGGTGACATTGGTTGATTCCACCGTGGTAACTTTGATACTTATTTAGTTGTATTTGGACGAAGTTGTAGTTATTGCCACTTCCATGCACAGCAGTTTCAAAATTTCCAACCTTTCCACCAGATGCTAATGACAAAAAACTGCAATTGTATCTCTATATCAACAGTTTCCATGACAATCCGTGTACTAAACACGGGTTTATGTTTCAGGATAAGTGGTTTATATTTTTGTCTATACAAAGGGCAGCCCGGTGCACAAAACATCCAGCGTTCACGTAGGGTCCGATGAAGGGCCGCACTCCAAGAGGGTCTGATGTAGGCCGACTACTCTGTAACCTGTTTGCTCTCTTTTTGTACCAAAGTGGACTTTTGTTGCCAGAATTTGCCGTTTGGGCGGAAAAAGAAGTGGTTTAGGTATTGTTCGCGAAAGTGGTCCATTCTGTAATTGAAGCTAATGAAATCTTTCGTGTTGTTAGAATTAGAATTAGTATCACATTTTAGATGGTTAATTAGTAAAAATAGCACGGGCTAGCCAGTTTTCGGACTGGTCATTCAAAAATAGCCAATTGCAAGGTTACCGAAAAATAGTCACTCTTTTACTGCAACAGAAAAATTCCAGCATAATATACTGGAGATCGGAGCACCTGTGTATGAACCTCCAGTATATTTTTTTGAATTTCTCCCGGTTAATTATGAAAGATTAGCCCAAAATTCATCTACCATACCTTCAATATCCTTTTGTTTCTTTTCAAATCAATGAAGAGTACTGAATGCAACTTTCATGTGATCGTTTAGACATTTTCGAAACATCTCCACGTAATATTTTGTACTCCATTCAATAATCGAAAGGTGTGATGGTTAAAGCATTTCGATGCGAGAATGACATTTTCTTGGAAATACGTTGTTGGATTTATACAAATGTTATTTAGTACTGGTCCATTTGGTACAATAATAGTTGGAAAACAAGTTCAGAACGGATCTTGTTAGCTCAGTTGGAAGGTCTTGGTTAATGACATCAAAACATGATAGCATGGCCAAGTTTTTAATGAGACAACCAGCTCTCTGATTTTTGACAATGCCTTTTTTTTTATTAACAAATTTAGTAGATTGTAAAAGCAATATGTTGGAATTTGGATTTTGCACACAAGGATAGTGGTTTGTGCCTACGTGTGAATAAAATATCAGTCCATATTGTGTATGTGGATAAGTGAAGCTAATTGACTATTCCGTCACAGCCTAAGTACATGATATGTATTGTCCGCTTCGGCTCAACAAACTTTATAGATTTGTTCTTTGGACTATGTCATTATTGAGCCCAAAATTACGAGTACCATGTGAACTTGTATCCTCTTCGTATTCCGATATGAGATTTGCCTAAAGTGTTATGTACATCCCTTCTTCATAAGCTTGCCAGCTGCCTAGAAGTCTGATAGTTCTTCTCTTTGACCCGTCTTTGTCGGTCCGCCCTCAGTTATGAATGTCATAGTCTCGGATTAAAACACCAATTGTTATTGATGAACCATGAAGTTAACAGTATGTATTCTAACAATGTGGGTGACACATGGTGGATCTCGAAAATTGACCCGTGGATTGTAGCAATGGGCCACATGGAGTTTAGTTTGAGGGTGAGACCTGTGAATCATGGAAGTGCGCCACGTGAAACTTAGTTCGAAGGGTAGATTATTGGACGTGCGAACAATGTCTCACATTGATAGCTGAAAAGATTGGGAGCCTACATATAAATAGTGTACAAAAACAACAACAATGACCAGTAAAATCCCACAAAGTGGGGTCTGGGGAGGGTAGTGTGTACGCAGACCTTACCCCTACCCCGATAGGGCAGAGAGGTTGTTTCCGATAGACCCTCGGCTCAGGAAGATGGAAATAAAATAAGAAGAGACAATTCATGAGTATCGTCAACAGAAACCATAGAAATAGTAAAGCATCATAAAAACCATAAATTAGATGACATGCATTAACAATAACCAACAAATAAGGTCCGGAGCTATGAAAACAATACAGATAGCGTGGACTCTACATTAACCACAAGCCAACTAAGTTCAACCTTATCAAACTTGCTTCACCCCGGTACGAAGAAGGAGAAGCTCGACTACCCCTAGCATACAACCCTAATGCTCGACCTCAACCTTCCTATCAAGGGCCATGTCCTCGGAAATCTGCAATCGTGCCATGTCCTGCCTGATCACCTCTCTCCAATACTTCTTAGGCCGCCCTCTACCTCTTCTTGTACCCACCAACGCCAACCACTCAAACCTCCTCACCGGAGCATCAAGGCTTCTTCTCCTCACGTGTCCGAACCATCCTAGCCTAGTATAGAGATCTCTTAATAGTATGATACCTTTTGAGAAAAATCGTATGGACTTGACCCAAAACGAATAATTTTATATTATATAAAGAATATTTTTGGGCCTTATGTGTTTACGTGTTGTGATTTATTCTCTTATATGGTTATTTTCAAATCAGTTTGTTATACAGGACATTAACACATAGGAGTAGTAGTTAATGCATGAGCTCTTTAATGTTTTTGGGTGGTACGTTATAGAATTTTAATGCATTAGTTAAACTGCAATGTCATGGTCCCTGGGAATATGACTCGTGAAAGATAAAATTATATCCAGCTGAAGTTCCCAATAGGACCCCTCCGTGTGCTTTTATAAGACTAGCTAGTGCATGAGCCTTAAATTAAATGCCCTCCGGACCTACGCTATACCGACAGGGGTCACCAGTATTCGTAAAGTTCGATATATATATATATATATATATATATATATATACGTCTTTAGAAAATAATTATATATTAATGGTAACACTCTATATACAGAGGCGGATTTAGAATTTCTTGAACATGGGTACGCCACTAAAAAAATAGAAAAATATATATTAGGTGGGAATCGATCCATATTTCTCTAGGTGAATAACTCAATATTCAACTAAGTTGCTACATCTTTTTAGGCGTATGACTACCCCGGAAAAGTGTGGCCTAAACTAGTGAAAAGTGTGACCTTTGATCAAAGGCCACACTTTTCGACTTTAGGCAACGCTCATTGTGGGTGGCCAAAACAAGTATACCCTTTAACCTTAGGGCACGCTTTTTAACTGTTACCTTACAAGCCACACTTAAAATCACGGCATATTAGATAACAAAGACAACGCTTGTTACACCTATATTTTATGATTTGCCAACACTTAAAACGCGTTGTCTTTGCGTTTAGAAAGTACACTTTAGAAACGTAGCTTAAATTTTCGTGGCCAAAAGCTCAAAATAAAGAATACACTTATAAAGCATTCCCATAGATATTATTGGCAACACTTTTTAAGCGTTGTCTAAAATTAACGAGGTCTTAGGATAAATATGTTGTAGTGAGTGCACCATTCAGTCTTTTTTATCATGAATGTCAACACATAATATTAGACAAATTCTAATAAATTATGTGCATTAAATATCTAATTTGACGGAAAGATCATGAGTTCACGTACCTCATAATTTAGGCTATACATCGACCCCTGCCTATATACATAGCAGATTTTAATTGAATTCAAAAATATATCCCGACCTTCAAATTCTGAATCCACCCTGCTTACCTGTGTTGTTACAACTCAAAATACACAAGGGGAAGGGGTCCAAAAGAGATAAATATATCTTTAAGTTGGGTGTTTTTTCGTCGTGCAACTCGACGGTTTACGTGTTAATTGTGACCCACGTCTCCTATTTGTTCAAGGCAGTTGGCGTGAATTCTGATTCAATAGTTATGCCCTTTAAGCTGATATATCTTATTTTTAATTAAAATATTATTGTGGTCTATAAGAGTTCTTTTTTTTTTCTCTGATTTCTCGCTCGGTATTCGGTACTTACATCGAGGCCCGACTAATCTGGATTTGAGCCGAAAAGTCCCATATTATGATATATAAAAGTTATTTTAGAACAACTCATTACAATTCTATAGTCATTTCACTAACATCTCGTTTGGATGGTTGTTACTTGTTGTATTGTATCGTATTGTTAATAGAGATTAAATTCGTCGTAACATAACAATGAAAAGTTTCACTCTATGGAACGACACATTTGGAGTGATCGCATCGTTTCTTTATTTTTATTCCTCTCATCTTGCACGTTCATATTATTATATAATCTTATTTCATTCTTTACCCTACCTTTTTATATAAACCCTCGTACCTTACTTTTTCTTTATAAAATTGCAACTTTACTCTTTATATTGTTTGTGCATGACATCATAAAACGGTTGAAAACAATAGAATCTATCTAAACATTATATATATCAGACAACTGTATATTTTGGTAAACAATATTAAATTATTAGGATAGGCTATTTATATTATACTTTTTTTCAGTCTTTTTATTAGTTTATTACTCACTCTTTTTAACTTTTTGAATCAAATTCCTTATTTTCTTTATTTTTTTAATTGGGTGCGGTCTTTTTCTGAATCCCGTATAAATATAAAATACTTTATGCACCGGAGGCTGTCCAATATTAAATGATCTATAATTACAATAATTTTGGACCAAACTAGTATATTTCTATAAAAGTACTCATGCATTACAATTTCCTGCCTTAAACATATACATCAATATTTTACCTCATTAGTATATGTGAACGTGCGTTACACGTTAATAATGACACATGATAATTTAAATATTTACTTATATGAAGGAACAATAAAATATAATTAATGACAGAAATTTTATGTATAATAATACAACAGTCATTTAAATGTCGAAAATATTATTATATTGGCATAATAAATAAATTTAAAATAAAAAGACATCATCAAAACATACACAAATGATCAATTTTGTCATGTTAGTTAGATAATTATGTATTACAGTTTAAAAGTATTTAATGTGATGGTATCTTAGCGAACACTTCTTTGTAGACAATATTTTCTTTTTGTGTATGCCTCTGCTTTAACCAGAAATCTTATTGTGGATCTTGATATCCCTCTTGAAAGTGCAACATATAATTGTTCGTGCAAGAAAACATATTGCGGTAAATATAGTCCAGTATTTAGGACGTTTGTCCTTGTGCTTTATTTATTATTTTTGCAAAACATAAACATATTAAAATTATTTCCACACATATTTAAAAGGAAATTGCTTAGTTTCGAAAGACGAAAATTGAATTCAGGGATAAGAATATACTCAGAAGCACATTGATCAATATCATATATGACGTTATTATCAAAACTTCAATTTACCATATGTGTGTTATTACATAAGCTATTCGACGTATTTAAATTTTCTGTAGCATAACAGACATAATTTTCTTCAAAGTCAACCTATATACAATGGAAGATCAATTTCAACTTACTCTACTATATATACGGTGACACTAACATACATAAGAAATAATAAACTTGACAAGATATATCATTGAAGGCCATTTGGTATTAAAGTATTTAAGTATTCTTCCTGGTAGTAATTATTGGTATCATATTTTAATGAGTCAAAAATAG